AACGGTTCTACTGGGTGAACTGCAAAGAAGATGTGAGGGCCTGGTGTAAGAAATGTGACATTTGCGCAGCCATTAATGGGCCACAAAAGCGTGGTAAAGCCCCTATGCGCCAGTACAATGTTGGTAGTCCCTTCGAACGAATAGCGATCGACGTGGCTGGTCCTTTCCCGGAGACGAACGATGGCAACAAATACATTGTGGTAGTAATGGATTACTTCAGCAAATGGGTCGAGGCCTACGCGTTGCCAAATCAAGAAGCGTCCACGATTGCTGATGCCCTTGTTAAAGAATGGATCTGCAGGTTTGGTGTTCCCATGGAGCTTCATTCAGATCAGGGAAGAAACTTTGAGTCCAATCTGTTCCAAGGCGTCTGTGAAGTCCTGAACATCCGCAAGACCAGGACGACTGCTCTACATCCACAATCCGATGGGATGGTTGAACGCATGAACAGAACTATCAACCGTTATCTGGCCAAAGTAGTCTCTGACCACCAAAGAGACTGGGACAAATTTCTTCACCTGTTCCTGTTGGCCTACCGTTCATCCGTCCAAGAATCTACAGGGCAAACTCCAGCCAGCATCGTTATGGGACGGGAAGTGCGCCTACCCTGTGATCTGAAATTTGGTTGCCGACCGGGAGAAGAAGTCGCCGGAGAAGATTATGTCCACACACTACGTCAAAGGATGGACGACATTCATCAGAGAGTCCGCCTAAATATTCAAAGTGCTAGTGACCGAATGAAGGAACACTACGACATTCAAGCTGAGCATGGAGGATACCAACCAGGGAAGTTGGTGTGGCTATATAACCCGCAGAGACGTCGTGGGTTATCTCCGAAGCTACAATCCTCGTGGGAAGGGCCATACGAAGTCATGGATAGAATTAATGACGTCGTATACCGTATCAGAAAATTGCCAAAAGGAAAACCGAGGGTAGTCCATTTCAACCGTTTGAGCCCCTACCAAGGCGAAATAGAAGATCGTGCTGGGACCGTGAGAACCTGCAGCTTTGATCCCCCTGATTCGGAGATGTCCTTTGACGATTTCATGGCCCGATACAACAGCAGTGAGAAGGCTCGCTATGGTGTAACCAAAGAAGATCAACGAGACCTCTTTTCCGTGCCTCCTGATTATTCGCTCGCTCATTGTGTGGCTCGAGATTTGCGGATGTCCAGAGGAATCGCTGCGACGTTCAATGAGAAGTTTGGGCGTGTCGGAGAACTACGCCGACAGGATCCAGAGGTTGGAAGCGTCTTGAGGCTAACCGACAATGCACATGGTCAAGCAAGGCACATCTTCTACCTGGTCACCAAGGAATGGTCCCCGAGTAAGCCGACTTATCTCAATCTATGGAAGACCCTGATTGAACTGAGAGAAGCCCTGCTAAACAACAACATTGCACGATTAGCCATTCCGAAGCTGGCGTGTGGACTCGATGGTTTGAGTTGGCGTACAATCCGGAACATGATTGAAGTCTTGTTCAGATTTACGGGAATCGAGATCCTCGTTTGCTGCTACAACCCAAAGCTGAGATCGGGAGAGAAAACTGTAGACTGCTATTTCTACCAGACTTCGCAATGTACCAGGGGCCAGCTTTGCAAATACCTTCATTCACCGTATAATCTCGGGACGAGCATGTGCCTAAGAAGGGGGCAGTGTTGCGGGCGGTGTGGACTCGACCTAACCTCACAATATGGCCCGCCCTCGGATGACCTTAACATCGCATAGACACCGCAATGATTCATTCGTTCGAGAAGAATCGAGTTCCACTGGAATGGACTAGTACATACGAGAACATTCGAAAACCTTTCTACGCACCTAACGATCTATGGACTATTCTAGAGTTCTTTACCTGTCGGTATAAAAGCCGGCGGCGGTGGCCTACAGGGGGCAGTTATAAATATACCAGTGCAGTTGACGCGCTAAAATTCAAAATAAATTCTTAGTTATAAATCGTTTGTAAATAGTTCTATAAGTCTTTTATCGTTATTGTTTTTGTTAATTAGTGTTAAATAAATAGTGTTTAAATAAATTTAAATAAATTGTGACTTTCTATCCACACGGAACCGACGAAAAACGTAACATTATATATATATATATATATATATATATATATATATATATATATATATATATATATATATATATATATATATATATATATATATATATATATATCTTATATTGGCGATATCAGAGTGTTTGGTTTCGTTTAAAGGGGTTACAACGGTGCCAATATGAAAAAATATACAATCATTACAACAAAACCACGAATGCCAACAAAAAATGTCGAAGTTTACAACAGAATAGGTAGAGAAAAAGAACTGTTCAATATAATTAAAAAAAGGAAAACATCGTATTTGGGGCATATATTGAGAAATGAAAAATATCACGTCTTACAACTAATAGTTAAGGGAAAAATTGGGATCTCGGCAGGAAGAAACTATATTGGTTGATAAACATCAGAAATTGGACTCACCTTACTTTTGAAGAACTCATAAGAAAAGTCGAGAATCGTGAAGGTTTTGCCAATGTGATCACCAACCTCTACGAAAGAGATGGCACGTAAAGAAGAATCTCTATACGTCATTTTGGTGGTATCGTAAAATTTATGCATATATTATTTGGTCAACAAGGCCAATTATAACGGATTTCTTATGACTAATTGTCTGTTGTGAATTAAAGTGTAAGTACCTTGCCGATCATGTTGGTTTTGCAGACCATTCGGTTTTTAATTTGTTATTTGTCTTATGCACTAATACAGTGCATAAAGCTGGATTTTCATGCATCCGTTGTCCGACGATACGTTGATACGATATTAATTTTATTAGTAGAATTTAAAGACTTTGATTGGTTAGAAAATAACGCAGTTTTTAAATTTATTGCATTTTCATGCCTCCGTTTATCGGATATACGTTGGTGTCATTTTATATTTTCGTTTCCATAACGATTTTGCTATTTTACTTATATTTTTATTAAGGTTAGATTAAATTTGTCAAAAAAGTGTCAAAACGTCCGTTATGGTATGAACGGGTCTGTTGACGGGCTGAAGTAAAATATTTACGGCAAAGATTTACGGATGAAAAGTGGCGCGAAAACGCTATGACCAATCAGAGCACCATCGGACCATCGTATCAATGTATAACGGATGCATGAAAATCAAGCTTAAGTCTAGAAAATTTATCTTGTTATTGTTTTCTAATTCCATAGTGAAATGTATTTTATTGTGAAAGTTGTTGAATTCACTTAAGATAAATTCCGTCTCCGACCCATTGACAGCATACAGTCGTCAACATATCAACAGAAGAATGGTATTTTGAATTTTAGTTTTTTTCAATAATGGTTTCTTCTGCATATTCCAGTACGAGTTCAGCTAACCCCATTATTTTTTTTATTATCTTTATCGAATCGTTCCCCCTTCCAAAAATTTCACCGCACGCCCCTGCTGACTCAAGGAATTTTAAATAATGTGCCTAGTCACAATAAAATAAAGTTTTTATCTGTAACTAAAAAATATATACTAACATTTGCTGGAGAAAACTGGAAGAAAACAATGTAAAAATGTAAAGTAATGATGACAATAATGTCATAGTTTCTTCAATGTTTAGTATAGTTACCATAAAATACCGGGTGCGTCTCGAAAAGTCAAAATCTCAAAATCTTTTCAGATAAAAAAACGAAATTTGGTAGGTTAGTATATGACATAAATTCGGATTGAATGACGTATTCAATTGTTTTTGGTCACTTCCTGTTTCACTGGACATGACTAGAACTTCTGATTTTAAAATGGCACCCTCGGTATTTTCTTACTTTATTCAATAGAAAATGGCATTCTGAATAGAATGACATATTACATGTCAACTTTTGACATTCTCGCTTAATAAAAAATTGTATTTTAAAATTCCATCTAGATTGCCATGGCTATGTTAAAAACGCTAATCCTTAATCAATAGTGATGGGAATATCGGTTCTACATGAGTCGCATTACAGTCATCTTTTGACATTCTCGCTTAATAAAAAATCGTATTTTAAAATTCAATCTAGAGTGCCATGGCTATGTTAAAAACACTAATTCTTAATCAAGGAGCCTTGGAAAAATAGATTTAACCGTCTAATGTTTTTAGTGCCTGGTCCTGGCCAGTTAGAAAATGCTCAAATCGTATTTTTAATCAAATCTCAATTTTTTCAAATGGAACGAGGGTGGCTCATTACCATATTTAGGAAAAGCATTTTTTACGAATAATTTGATACCACACACTTGGCATTTCCAGTCAAATTTTCGTTCCGAACCGTTATAATTCCAAATAAACCATAGGCGAAAATGTTAAAAGTTGACATATGATATGTAATTCTATTCAGAGTGTTATTTTCTATCGAATAAAGTAAAAAAATACCGAGGGTGTCATTTCAAAATCAAAAGTTGTAGTCATTTCCGGTGAAACAGGAAGTGACCGAAAACAATTGAATACGTCAATCAATCCTAATTTATGTCATATATTAACATACCAAATCTCGTTTTTTATCTGAAAAAATAAAAAAAATTATAGGGGTGACCCACTTTTGAGACGAAACCAGTATGTAGGTCTAATTTTCTTTTTTTCAAAGTATAAGTCATTAACTGCTATGAACGTGCCTAAAAATCAGTTCCACAATAAATTAAAAATAGTAGCTTCTTGCTTTAATTTCTGAGCAGATTAAAGCTATAATGACAATCCCATTGTAAACAGAATACAAAACAAGAAAATAATAATGGCAATCTAATTAAAAAGTAATTTTAAGGTGTCTTCTCAAGTTAGAAGACCCTTCTTAAGCATAGCAGTACCACTGTAGTTCCTGAAATGTAGATGTAGAGGATAGTGGCGGTACCACTTTACCTAGAGAAGGTGGCAGTACTACCTTAGATGCTAATGTGTAGAGTATAGTGACAGTACAACTATGCCTAGAGAAGGCGGGAGTACCACCTGAGCTGTTGGAGTATCAAGGATAGTGGCATTTTAAACATTCTTTACTTTATCCTGCATTTATTATAAACAAAAAAACATGCATTAGTTAACAGATGCAACCAAATTTATTAATTGATTACTATTCTCTGCCAAATCTGCTATTGAAACTCTGCCTCTCTGTCTTATAAATTTGGCAACTGCTTCCATTTCCTTTTCGGACACGTAAATAAACTTTCCGCGGTCGTCAATTACTCCTGTTAAAATGTCGTCCTGTTGTAAATCTTTTATTCTATCTATGCACGATTGCGTCTTCAACTTAAAATGGGCAGCTAGGTCTTCAATAATCACTACTTTATTTTGTTTTATGTAATTTACAAATTCCTGGAGAAGATTTTGTTCATCAGCCTGTTCGCCTAGACAAAATATAAATGATTAACAAAAAACTAAATGGAATTATTTTAATCTTAATTTAAAATTGATTTAGTTATGAGAAATTGTAATATTTTTTAGAGAACTCTTCTATTTTCGAAGTAGCAATTTAAATTTAAAATACATTGCCATTTTGGTAGTCTATTCATAGGCACTAGGGTTTAAAACTGGGAATTCCCGGTTCTTTGAGACATGACAAGACTCGGGACTTGAAATGATTAATTCCCGGTTCTTTCGGTACACTTTTGGGACTCGGTAACAATAAGTAAAAAATAGTTTTTTGTTATATGCGAATATCCATTGATACTTTCTAGCAGTTGAAATCAAACTTGTCTAAATAAGTAGTAATTGCTATCTGTTAGTTCTTACTTCTGAAGTTCTTTTGATGTTCCTATTATGTTTATTAGCAATTACTGAACTTTAAATATGTTATATTTTATTATTTAGTATAATGTTGCTAAATGTATTAGCTTACTTAAATGTAAGTTTTTTTTCAAATTTAAGTTTTTCAGTTTAGTTAAGCTGGTTTATGTTGTTTGATGTAAATTTTAGTCTTTTAGTTACTTTTTTTTGTTTTTTTCCCTTGTGTTCATTTATGTTCGTGTTAATTTTTTCATGACTGATTACTTAATAATTTGATATTATTTTTATTTAAAACTCAATTTTTTATTGGTTTTACTTTTGAAAACCATTCCTTGCTTGCTGACTGACGAAGTACACATTCACTGAACAAAAATTTGCTAGTATCAAAATAACCGATAAAACCGGTTCCTTAGAGGCATCGTACCGAAATTCCCGGTTCCGGAAACCCTAATTAATACTATTTCAAGTCCTCGTTGGGCATTGTTGCGTCCCGTGCTTAAAACACATTCATTTCGCAACTTGTTACATAAATAGCTATTTTATATTGTCAATCACGTCGAAAAAACTAATACTTTTGTGACGTTTGAAAAAAAAATCATTTGTTGCAAACATTTTGGCACACTCGGAATAATTCGTTTGTATTTAAATTAAACTACTTGCCTTCATCAAACCCTTCTTCCTCGACAGAAAATGCTTCTTTCATTTTTAAATATTCCTCATATTCTTCTTTTTCTTTTTGTTCCTTAGCTTTTCTTTCGTCTTCTTCTCTTTGTTGCTCTTCGGCTTTGTCCTTGGCTTCTTGTTTCTTCCTTTCAATTTCCTCTAATTCGGTCTTTTTCTTTCTTAAAATATATTTTTAAATGTATGAAAAATAGATGTCTAGACCAATTTACGACTCTGGCGTCAATTTAGAAACCAGTATATAATATTAAAAAAATAAAATAGTGACAGAGAATTCTTCAACTGAATTTTGCTTTATGATCGAATGATCACGAGATTACAGTAGGTGTAGAAATAAAATTACATATCTAGCTTTTAAGTTTTGTTAGTTTTTGCATAAACGACAGATCTAGATCTATCGTAATATTAATCGTAATTAATTAATTACCATATACAAGGTGTCTCAGAAACAAGTGCAAGTATTCTAAGGGGTGGTAGATAATAATACAACCTAACCAAAAGAAACAACTTTTCTCATTGCCATTTTTAAAACAAATTGAAAATAACCGAGTTATTTAACTTTGAAAATAAAATAAAAATTGCAACATTTTGAGAAGGTTTTATACAATTTTAGATAATCTATAGCAGCAATAGAAATATAAATAAACCAAATTTGAAGAGTACAAGGGTATAAGAGAATTTAAAGAGTATATTTTTTTTAAGAGTATAAGATAATGTAAATATACCATAGTAAATAATATATAGAATACAAAGAACAACAAATAGAGACCTCGAAAGAAGCGAAATTCAGAATTAAGGATGAATCCAACTCCATGTGTGTCCAAAAAATATCAATATCATAAAAATTTCCATATCTTGCTGTGAATATTTTAAATACCTATTTCATTCTTTGTTTGAATATACCTATTGAAATTTGAAAATTTGGTATTAAAATTTATATTATTACATATATACATTTATACGTATTTACTGTTTATAAACTGCGTCTGTTCGCATTCAATCCAAACTGACGAATGCAGTAGAAATCAAGCGAGGAGTCAGACAGGGGTGTGTTCTTTCTGCACTCTTTTTCAACGTCTACTCAGAGGAAATCTTCACCAAAGCCCTTGAAAATGATGCCGGCGGAATAAGAGTTAACTGCACTCCACCGAACAATCTGCGCTATGCGGACGACACAGTACTTTTCGGTGAAAACATGCAAGGTCTACAAAACGTGTTGAATAATGTCATCACAGACACTTAACGTTAAGAAGACCAATTATCTGATTGTCACGACCAAACCAAACCAAACCAAAACTGATGCGCCTAATGAACAACTGTATGTGGAAGGCGAAAGGCTGGAAAGAGTCGAGAGGTATGACTATATGGATACAAGTGTTGACTGCTCCGCAGATTATTGTTTAGAAATAAGGATTCGAATCAAGAACGCCCGGACATCGTTTATGAAGATCAAGAAGCTTTTTTGTAGCACCGACCTGAGCTTGGAGCTGAGAACACAGATGCTCAAGTGCTATGTATTCCCGTCCTTTTGTATGGTGTAGAAGCTTGGACCCTCAACGCATACTGCGAGCGAAGAATCAAAGCCTTTGAGATGTGGGCCTACCGTAGTATGCTGAGAATATCATGAACAGATCACGTGACCAATGTAGAGGCTAGGAGGTTAGGTTAGGTTAGGTTAGATCGCATTGCTGAGATTTCTTTACGGTGTATTTAAACCTTGCAGTGTTGTCACCTTCTACATTACCAAAATATCTTCAACATATTGTTAAGGTGTGTGGCGACATCTGTTGACAGAGCATAGAACCACTATGCCTACATTGTCAAGAAACCTGGCGAATTGAGTAGCGCGCCATCTCTGAGACTCACGTGGAAAATATCGATGAACTAAAAAGAATTTACTAGAAAGAAAAAGAAATACTACAGTATTCTAGAATAGAACTTTCCGGAAGATCCGCAGCGATATTTAAGTGCAACCCGCGGTCGGCAGTTAGTCAGTTATGGGATAGTGCTCTGTAATAGAAAAATTGTGAACTATTTGTCGAAGGTGCTAGAAAATTGAGTAATAACAGTTGCATAGTTAATTAGTTGTTTAAATTGTGTATATAGTGAGAAAAATAAATTCGTTAAATATTTTATCGTGAGTTTAAATTAGTGGACACACTGAATCCGTAACAATATTTGTAATTTACTGTACGAGTATTAATAATTTATTCTTATCAGTGTCGATTACTAATAATTCTAGAAAAAAAAACACATAATTTAATTACAGAATCGCACTGCTGGAGAATAAACAAATGGCACTATTTTTTTTAAACATTTCCCCGAATATGTCAAGAAAAATATAAAATTTTCAAGACTTTTTTTCCCAAAAAAGCCTCATAGATGTGTTTCTTTGGGCATATACATTTCTTCGGCATATACTACTAATTAAAATACTTGCACTTATTTAAAATACACCCTGTATAAAATGTCGCTCCTAAAATACTTTTGGAAAAGAATTTTAAAAATGATTATACAGGGTGGGCCTTAAATAAGTGCAAATATTTTTAGAGGTGGTATATTTCAATCTCCCCAGGAGATGCGAGACCTTGACGTTGGTGGGGGAGCTCCTGGCCGGGTGCCCCAGGCACTTTGGCTGGGTCTAAGGAGCATCTTACTGTAAAGTGGTGCCCGGTGGCGTAGAGGTACAGGCTCTCGTCTACCAATCTCAAGGTGTGGGTTCGATTCCCACACCCGGCATTTCATCAGCCGACTCTTTTTATTAAGATAAAAATAGTTTGGGTACCTAGGTCGACTCAGCCTTAAATGAGTACTTGGGATTCACAATCCTGAGGTAATAATAGGCGGTTGAAGCGTAGTGCTAGCCACACTACCTTCCTTGTATACCGAACGGCTCTAGTATAGCAAGCTGTACCTTGCTACTCCCAAGGCGTTAAACGCTATATACGGGAGCTATTATTATTATTATATTTCAATGCCGAGAACACGCCTGTGAGTTTTTTTTCGCAAAAATAAAAGATGTTGAAAATTGTACCATTTTCATTTAAATTTTCCTGTATCTTTTAGAAAATTTTTTAGAATTGCCTGTTCACCGCAAATTTTCCCACGGTATAATTTCTTAATCTCTGATATTATAATGGTTACGACTTTACTCTATGGTTACGACACTAAAAGGGGTTCAAATACAGAAAAAATCCGGTGGCTTTCCAAATTTTTTAAAATATTTTTTTTTTCAATTTCAAACTTGAATAACTCGGTTATTTTGGACTTTGAAAAAAAAACAATTAAACCGTATTTGTTGTTTGTAGTTATTATGGTTTCCCAGATACCAATTTTCGTACCCTGAAGAACTCTGTATAGTAATATAGTTTATTTAGGCATACAATCAAAGTGTTAAAGTTAAAGCATCTCCCATTAAAAGGAAGAAGGGCCATTTTAAGAAAAAAAAAATCGGTCGTCGGTGCAGATAGAAAATATTTCTACTAAAATTTATGTAAGGGTGAGGGTATTTTCTCTTGATTTTTGTGAACGTGAAATGTTATAGCACTTAGCAAAATATCCTAAAAAATGTGTTTCCAACTCAAAAATAAAGTGCAAAATGGCACTCCAAATCTCATTCAAATAGGAATATCGGTTCTTAAAATATCTTAAAAAATGTGTTTATTTTTTTAAAGTTTGATGCCCTCTAACGGACCAACGAAGCACTTTTATACAAAGGTAAATTGTGTTCAATGAACTAATCTTGATTACAAATACGCAGTAGGTCTGTGTCTACGGAATATTGGGACACCCTGTATAATGTGTCAAAAATAAATAAAAAAAGGAGATATAAATATCTCTATTATAAAAACACGTTTACCTGATGTGAGATCAATGAGATGTACCTTTTTAATTTAAATAAATATGCAGTTTCGAGATTTTGTAATAATAATAATAATTATTGACAAACCTTTCATTTCTAAGCTGTTCTTCGGCTACTCTAGCGGCTTTCTTTTCCGCTTTTGCCTCTAATTTGGCCTTTTTCTTCGCACCAATTTTAGCATCGGATATATCAGTTTGTCTCTCAGTATGATCCAAATTTTCTTCGGGGTCTTCATTATTCTGAACTAAATATATTAAATAATATTAATTAAACATATGTAACACTTATAAATTGATTTCAATACCAGCAGCGTGTAATCGGGCTCCTCTATTCCTTGCCAACTGAGCTCGCCTTGGTATTCCCTCTCTTATCCTGTTAGGTACAGCTCTCGGATTTTCCACATTGTCTGAAATTAAAATACAAGTTTTATGGCCTGGAAGTTTTAAATAATATCGTTCATTATTAGCTGCATTTTCTTTTTAAGATATATTTAAAAAAATCTACGAAAATCAAACGAGAAAATTTCGAAAAAGTTATATGTTATATTATTATAATATTACAAATATAGGTATGGTTTGGGTTGTTCTGCCATTAAGGTCGCGACTTGATATCTTAAGAAAAGATAATTACATACAGGGTTGTTCACCATATACGACGCGGAGTATTGTAGCTAAACTCTTAGATTTTTGCAAATTGTACGTTTTGGGTTCATTGAAGGACTATTAGAGCTACAATTTAAAAATATTTTTACAAGATACAAAGTGGCCCAAATAAATAAAAAATATCAAAGTTGTATTTTTTTAAATGGAACACCTTGTATATTATTACATTTTTAGTTTCTACGATTAAAATAAAGGTAAATTTGATTAAGGTATACCGCATTTTAATCTTACCGTTTTTGAAATATTTAGGATTTTGTCAAAATACAGTAATAATTTTAATGCTTTATTTCTCCAAGCGTATTTAAGTTTTTAAAACCAAATATTGTACTGAAATATTTCTATTTACTAAATTTTGTGTTTCATTAATAAAAATTATACTACCTTATACAGAGTGTCTAAAATTTTATTTTAAATAATAATTAGCTATAAACGGCAATAACTTGTTTAATTTAAATGGAACACCCTGTATATTTTACAAGAATCAGATGCACAATTTAATTGTCTATCAAATTGTATTATACCATATTTTACCTATGTCTTCAGGTTTTCGTAGAAAATGCATTTTCTTATAATTTAGACCTCATAAATCAATATACCCATGGAATATTGACATTTTTGATTATTTTTAAACATGTAACAAATTTTTAAATGGTACAGATACTAATATTTTCGATATAGTTCGTTTATGTCAATAAAAAATAAAAAAAATGTTTAAATATTTGTAAAAGAGAACAAAATAATATGATTCCAGTATTCAAACTACATTAATTGACTGTTTGCGTTGATTAATAATAATTGCTCCAAATACTAAAAACCTTAATTTTGTATGTGTATTAGACAGCGTGGTAAAAAGTAACACCTTAAAAATGTTATTTCATTTTTTGACGGATGCTTATTTATAACAACAGAGACGTTCATTTTCATAACTTATTATTATATTGATTTCTGATTCCAAATCCACATTTATTTAGAATAATTTATTAACTAATACAATTAAATATGTAATTAATTAATATTTTGGCGGAAATAATGGCGGTATATTTAATTAATGTTTCTCTTTTATAAAGATATAAATAATTTTATTTTTGTATACCAATAGGCACTATAATACTATCGTTTTTAGCACCTATACATTTGTTGCTTTAAAAAAAATCTAAAATGTCAATATTCCATGGGTATTTTGACAAATGAGGTCTAAATTATAAGAAAATGCATTTTCTACGAAAACTTGAAGGGATAGGTAAAAATGGTATAATACAATTTGATGAACAATTAAATTGTGTATCTGGTTCTCCTAAAACATACAGGGTGTTGTATTTAAATTAAACAAGTTATTGCCATTTAAACCTGTAAATTATTTAAAATAAATTTTTAGACACTCTGTATGAGGTAGTATTATTTTTATTATTGCAACACAATAACTGATCAATAATTAAACTTCAGTAAATATTTAGTATTAAAAAATTTGATACCCTTGGAGAAATGAAGCCTTAAAATTTTTACTGCAATTTCACAAAATTGAAAATATTTAAAAAACGGTAAAGTTCAAGGGTGATAAACCTTAATCAAATTTACCTTTATTTTAATCAAGAAACTAAAAATGTAATAATATACAGGGTGTTCCATTGAAAAAAATACAACTTTGATACTTTTTATTTATATGGGACACTCTGTATCATGTAAAAATATTTTTAAATTGTAGCTCTAATAGTCCTTCAACGAACCCAAAACTTACAATTTGCAAAAATCTATTCGTTTAGCTACAATACTTCGTGTCGTATGTGGTGAACAACTCTGTATATGTAATTATCAAACAGATTTTGAGACTCAGTTAGATTGGGTAAGAATTCATATGACAATTTTGTTTAACAAATTCATATGAAGATCAAATAATAATTGTGCATATACTGAACAGTTGGGTAATGAAAATTCGAAAGTAAATGAGAAAATAAAACCAAATGGATTGAAGACCACTTATTATTCATAACAAATCAAGAGAGTTGTAGGTAACAAAACTAAGAAAATAATTTTGTTTTCCTTGATTAAATAATGCGGAGGTTCTGTCACCACCCATTATTGCTTGCGTGAACAATATATGTGTAATAACTCAGTCTTGTCGGCTCTAAGATGAGGATCATACAGTGCTTTAGATATCGTATTTCATATTTCCTTTGCCTGGTTTCAATAATAAAATTTCACACTTCGACTACCAATTCTAGTTATTTTTTAAGTTATTAGCAAAAATCCCCTAAAATATTTTTATACTTTTAAAAATGCCCTGTCACGAATTTAACTACTAACTACTTTACTAAACTATAATAGGATCCATCACTCTTGGATAGTAATGTTTATAAGACGTTTTAATGTTTATTCGGATATTTTCTCTGTGTGGAAATTAGTAGCATCTACTAATTTTCTTTATTGATTATTGATGTAGTTTTTGGTTATTACTTATTTAGATTAGGCCTACTATTTTTTAATATTTTATATGGCGCCCCTTGAAGAGCGCGCCGCCAAGGGCGACCGCCCGGGTCGTCCGGCCCTCCCGCCGGCCCTGCTTATAACAGATCAAGATTTTAAGGCTGCAAAGCTATCTGGAATCTCTAAAGCTAAAATCGATGGTAAATAGAAGAATGGTAAAGGAATGCCAAGACTACATACAGGCCAAAAGGCCGTAATTAAAACTAATTTTGCCAAAGCTAAATAAAAGAGCACGTAATCATAACAAAATAATGACAAACAAATTCACATCCACAGTGGCACCAAAAACGAAAAAAAAATGACCAGATAGATATGGATTGAGACCATGGTTGTTTATCCGCAATCTATTGAGAATTGAAGACTCCATCCGTAACCTGGAATGGGTGTCCAAAGATTTTCCTTGATTTAACTAAAAACAATCTTCGGATTGTCACGGGGTTTCTAACAAGACACTGTCTCCTCAACGAACACCTCAGCAGGCTGAAGCTGAGAAACAACGATGAATGCAGATTCTGTGGGGAAAATGGGGAAACACCAGAACACCTTATCACTGAGTGCACCGAGACGACGACCGTTCGTGCCATGAACTTTGGTACGGCTGAAGTCGAGGATGGTGGGCTGGCCTCTGTGGAGCCGTCTCAGATACTGGCTTTTGTTAAAGCCCTGAGACTGTATGATGAGTCTATTAAACTCGTTATAACTCAAGAAAGGGGAACACATAATAGATATGTAAGGTCGCGGTGATTAACTCCCCTCCTAAACATTACAAGGGCAATAGAGGGGCCGTCAAAGCTTACAAAGGTCATGACAAACCTCTCAAAATTACCCAACAAAGGCCCAAAAAGACCAATTTCGGACAAAAGCACATCAAACGATGAAAACCAACACAAAAGGGAAAGACTAAAAATTGAAAGTGTGTCATTCAGCGAAGATGTCGGGCCCGTTAAGATTGCGGTGGTACATAAGGGATTTCCGGAAGTTAGGATGGAACTGGACAAGCTTAGGGCAGTCCAGAAATCCATGGTGACTGCGTACGAGGTGGTTCCGGAAGGAGAACCTAGGGTCCGCTTCCTGAAGTGCCCGTACAAACTGAGTTTACTGGAACTAACCTGTGTAGATGACATAAGTGCGTGGTAGTTAAAGAATGTTATTCCGTCTCTGGGGCTGGGAGGAGAAAGACATACCCAGACCCAACGATTGTTTCGTCTACATACCAGACGAAGATGGAAAACGCCTTGAGGCCAAAAGGATTTTCGACAGATTGAGGATAAACAACCATGGTCTCAATCCATATATATCTGGTATTTTTTTTTTCGTTTATAGTGTACTCGTGGATGTGAATTTGTTTGTCTTAATTTTATTATGATTACGTACGTTTTCTGAATATAAGTCCAACGATCCATTACAGTGACTGTTATGCAAGTAATTTTAATTCCCTAGTAAAATTGTATTTTCTGTCGTTTTTTGAATGTCATCTGTCGAAATCATTCCAGACTCGTTGGATAGACTTTAGTTAATTCAGGTAAACTGGTTTCGAGAAATATCGGTATAGCAGGTGCGTCTCAAAAGTGGCTCACCCCTATAACTTTTTATTTTTTCAGAAAAAAAAACGAGATTTGGTATGTTAGTATATGACATAAATTAGGATTGATTAATGTCAATTCTTCTCGGTCACTTCCTGTGTCAATGGAAATAACTGTAACTTTTGATTTTTAAATGATACCCTCGGCATTTTGTTACACTATTCGATAGAAAATGACACTCTGAATAGAATGACATATCATATGTCAACTTCTGATATATTCGCTTAAAAAACATCGTATTTTAAATTTCAATCTAGAGTGCCATGGCTGTGTTAAAAACACTAATTTTTAATCAAGGAGCCTTGCAAAAATAATCATATCTCAATTTTTTCATATGGAACGAGGGTGGTTTATTAGCACATTTGGAAAATGCATTTTTTACGAATCATTTGGAACCATACACTTGGTATTTCCAGTCAAATTTTGAAAAACCGCATGCTACGATTTCAAATAAACATATGCGAAAATGTCAAAAATAGTCATGTTATATGTCATTCTATTCATGTTATTTAAAAATTAAAAGTTGTAGGTTGTAGTCATTTCCGGTGAAACAGGAAGTGACTTAAACAATTAAATACGTCAATAAATCCTAATTTGTCATATACGTATGTAATAACATACCAAACTTCGTTTTTTTAACTGAAAAAATAAAAAAGCTATAGGGGTGAGCCACTTTTGAG